ACCAAAGACCACGGGCTTCAGCTGCTGTATCTGGGCAGAACAGAGGCAGATTAGCAGCCTGGAGTGATAAAGAGCAGTGTTTAATGCCAGGCTGGACCTGTGTCTAAATGCTGGATGCAGGGGCATCTGTGCTGTTCCCTCTGCCTGGCACCTTCCATGGGTCACTCGTGTTGGGTTATTTGGCACTGAAATGTTTCCACCTCACTGGACAAACGTGCTGCTGGCTCTGTGAGACCTTGGTGGGCTCTGGCAGGGCTGGGAGGGGAGTGGGACAGAGGCTGAGCCCCCTCCATGTGCCAGGCTGCCCAAGGAGGGATGGTTCTGCAGCTCCTGAGCTGCTCTGCCCATCCCTGATGCAATGTCCTCTGCCCTGCCTGGCTCAGGAAATCCCTCCTCTCACAGTGCAAGAATGAAAGGGGAAAAAAATAGACACATCTGGCCCCAAACCATCTCTGGGGCTCTGGGCTGAGCCAGCTCTGCTGGGTTCAGACTGATCCATCTGCCGTGCAGCTCCCCAGCCTCTCTGCTGGGTCTGGGCTGCCCTGAGGCTCAGCTGACAGGATCAGCTCCTCTGCACTGCCTGGGCATCTCATCTCATCTCACCCTGTGACCTTTACCAGCACTGGGTTGCACTGTCTGGATTTTTCATCACACAGCCTCCAAAGAGAAGCACGACAATACCTGAAACACGTCTGCATTGTCAGAACAGGGTCACTGGGGTCTCGAGGGGCTTGGTGAAGGCATTTCTTTCTCTCTCTGCTTCCTAATCCACCAATTTCTTGCAAATCTGGTCTTGCTTGGAAGCTGCCAGGATGGGACCACAGAGTTCTGACCATATATACGAATTTATAATTTTCTTTCTTAGGGGGTCTGCAGGGACTATGCTTCAGAAGATCATGGCTTGGCTCCTGGTCAGAGTAAAGCTAGGTCAGTATTCAGGAAGAAGGCTGGACAGAGCAAGAACTTCCTCCTTGCTGACCTCCAGGAACGGAGGAGCTGCCCTGGGCTCCCTCCTTTCCTCCTGCAGCATTCACCCATCCCCAGCCCACACTGCTGGGTGATACACCCATGCCCTGAGGCAGTGCTGTGCTTAACGGGATAAATGCTTAGTGACAGCACCAAAGAGCCATCCTGCCCCTCCAAGGGGATGCAGAGCCAGCTGGAGGTGGCTGAGCACGGGGACCAGTGTCACTGAGACAGCAAGCACAGAGAGGACAAAGGCTTTCTCTTCTCCCAGTCTGGATGCCTGTTCCAGAGAGCCGTGACCACAGCAGAACCAGTTCCTGGTACTTCAAACCAAGCACAAACACAATTTTACATGCAAGAATGCAAGGACGACCCAAGCAGGTACCTCCCAACAGCAAAGGCACCCAGCTGGATGGCAAATAACTAAACACAGCAGTGGTGTGGCTGTAAACACAAGAGAGGGGCCTCACTGGAGTGACCACTTTGGGTGGGCAACCATATTCCATGCCCAGTGACCACATTCCATCCCCGCTGCAGTGAGAAGGTGCCTGGATCTGCAAAGACCATCAGTTCAACGAGATCAATCTTGTTTAGCTTAATAAATAGGAGGTGAAGAAATTACTTGAGCACTATCCAAAATACTGAAAGGCAGAAGAGATGTTGGCTGAAAGAGCTGGAGAGAGAAGGGTATGGAGACGCAATGAAGGGAAGAGTCCAACTAAAAGCACTTGTGAGAATCCCTACCACTGCAGTAATACAGAAATGGCTCTGACAAGTTCACCCTCACTTGTAACTGCACATCAGATTGAGTGTTTGGGTTTTTTCCCTTAACAAATTGAACAGGAATAAATTAAGGGATGTGCTACAGCCTGTATTTTGCCGTGGGTTAGATCGATGATCCAAATGTTCTTTGCTGGCTTTGCAGTCAATGAATCACTAAATTTGGATCCACATCCTCACCAGATGGATCAGAACCAGAAACCGAGGTACTGCTGCCCCCAGGGTTTAATGGAATTTCTGTCTGGTTCTGAAGCAGATCTGGGCATTTTACTGAAAGTTTTATAACTGCTTTCCCCCTGCAAGCCCGACTGCAAAGTTCAAATTACTTTCTAAGCACCTTAGTTTTCACAAAACCCTTGTGATTGCAGAGAAAAGCTTGAATAGTCCTAAAAGTTCCAACACTGGTAGACAAATAAAATGAACTTTATAACTGGGGGATTTCCTGAGTTATGATTTTCTCGATTTAGCCAAGGGTTTGTGAACCTTCTGCCTGACTTTGGCTCAGCCAGGGCTGGTGATGCTGAGACATTCTTCCTGAAAGTGTGTCCTGGCAGAGGGATTTTTACAGTGGGCACAGATATCTGGTTTCTTCCATCTTTTCAGTACCAGGCTGTGTGTGCTTCTCTGGCTGTTTGGCATTTGCTGGAAAAGATTACTGTGAGAAGGGGAATCAATAAATTCCATCACAGATGACAAACATGGAGGGAAAACATTGCTTGGGGTTGCTAATCAGCATCTGCAGTGGGGATGGATGGAGCATCCCAGGGTCAGACCCCTCACCTGAAATGCCCCCACATGTGCTGGCAAAGGCCCTGGTGGGAGCTCCTCCTCCATCTGCAGTGGTGCCCCTGCCAGGTTCCCAGTCCCCTTTCAGCAGTCTCCTGTCTCCTGGCCTTGGAAGCCTGATTGCAAATCCTAAACAAGTGCTCTATGATGGGCTGGCTCCCTGCCCAGAGACTGCATCAGAAATTCTGCTTGATGTATCAAACCCTCAGCCAGCCAGGGGAAGGGAGGAGAGCCCGGGAGGTAGGGAAGGGGTGCCACAGACAACCCCAACTTCCCTCTTCCAGCAGGGAAGCACCAGGAGGTTCCCTTCCCTTTGACCTGTGCCTAAACAGGAGAGCTTTTCACCACGTCCTGGTGGATTTGAACTACAGGAAAGCAGCAGCAAGAGGGACCAAGGATGCCAGACACAGCAGTGGTGCCACGACCTTCCTGTCTACACAAGACCCCACTTTTCTTGGGACCTGTCGAGGTCCACCAGCCCCAGGCTCCCAGCCAGGCTCCTTCTCCACCAGCAGTGCAGATATCATGGCAGCAGCCACTCACATACTCAGAGTTTCTGGCTGCAATCTTAAATATCAGCCCAAGGCCACTCTCACAGCAGAGATCTGCTCTGTGGGGTGACACAAGTCCTCCTGCAGAAGCTCTGACAAGAGAGGCTGAGGGCACCTTGGCCAGTCCCACCAGTCAGTGCTGCCTTTTTAGAGGAAGCAGTGGAGCCCTTTGGAGGTTGCCAGACCTATGGAACTGGCCTTCACACCAATTATTTCCTGTCTGGCAGGGGGAGAGGAGGGGTGCAAGTATTGTGTCTAGGCAAGGATGCAAGACTCCAGAACCCCTAGCTTGTCCCTGGGCACCACATTGGAGCTCAGGAGACCTGGAGGTGTGGGTAGTGATGCAGGGATGAGCTTTCCCAGCCACCACTCCACAAAGTTAGAACATGACCCTGAAGTGGCTTTGCATCTGTCCTCAACAGAAGGATGAGAAAACCTCCCTTATTTTTAAGCCAAGAGGGGCACTAGCTCTTTGCAAGGATCTGAAATATTTTGGAGTCAAAGCAGTCAGTTTTCAGGCTCCAACCCCGTCAGAGGCTCTTGGGTCAAGAGACATCTGGAAGCTGTGCTGGCCGCTGTTAGTCACCTGCTATTTCATCCTCGTGCCCTTTTAAATGGCTCCTGTCCTCCCAGGAGGGGCTGACCCAGCACCGAGGAGCCCCTGCAAGAACTGCTGATGTCGGCGGGCTCTGCATCACGCTGGAGCTATTCTGGCTGCTTCCCTGCCACGGGGACATCTCATCCCCCATGAGATGTCACAGCACCAGGACAGTCTCCTCCAAAGGCACGGGGGAGAAAAGGCAGCTACCACTGTGCTTTTCAAGCCCTCTCTGAAGGATGAACTTGTGAAAAAAACCCCAAACCTGGGGCCACGTTGCTGAGCTGTGTCACATCACAGTCAGCCCCTGCAGACAGGACGTCCCTTTCCTGTGGTGCCTGTGAAATAAAGTGTCCCTACAGTGCCTCAAAATGCTCCCTGAAGAGGAAAGAGTCTAAATCCAATGTTTTCAATTTGTCCTACCAACCAAAAGTGGGATTGCTGAGTTCTTAGGGAGGGTGAACACCAGGGTGGGTCACAGCCAGAGGAGAGGGTGTTTAGTCACAGGGAAAAATAGGATAACTGGACCCTGTGCCAAAGGCAGAAGAGAAAGAAGAGCAAGGTCCTCAGGTACACGTGGCCTGGGCAGGCTGGGGACAGGATCTAAGGCAAGTCACAGCTAGAGCTCATCCTGGTGGGACAAACCCTTCAACACATCCCAACCTCCAGAAACAGGGACACTGACCACCACCATGCAAGGAAGGACTGGCAGGAGAGCCAGAGGCATCCCAGCCTGCCTACACAGCCTCTGGGTCAAATTAGCACATGGAAATGGGGACAGCAGCAAGAAAGGTACCCAAGGGAAGGAGGATGTGAGAGCAAACTGCAGCAGGGAAGGTGACAGGACTCCATCACGTGGAGCCTGGTCAAGAAGGTGACAAGGGGATGGAAATAACATCCTCAGGAATGAATCCAGATATTAAAGACTAATATCTTTATGATATCCTATCAAACACCAAGGCAGATGACCACAGATTAAATAAAAAACACCACTGCTGGTATCCACCCTCCCACCACGGACACTCCCTCGGTCTGACAGGACAACCCTGCCCCACGCAGCACCAGGGGCCTGTCCCTGCTCCATGCCTGTCCCCAGCTTCCATGGTTACTCCACCCCTCTTAGACACCTTCTTGTGCCATCCATCACCCCCAGCACCTGGGACTAGGAGGGCCAACAAGTGCAGCATTTACCCTAAAGGTCACTCCCTGCTTCCCGAGCGCTCCTGATGCTGGGAGCAGCCAGACGAGGAGTCCCAGTGCTGCTGTCCCTTGGGAGGAGGGCTGGCCTTTCCCGGCAGGGAGGGAGGTTTGCCACTCACCTAGCAGCAGGTTCATGAGGACCTCTTGGCCTGCCAGCGTGCTGCTCTTCACCAGGCAGATGAGCGTGCCCGCAATCCAGGGGATGCCGTGCCCCGTTATCCCCAGCAGGTTGATCATGGAGCGGGCACCTCCCCAGGAGGAGGCTCTGTTGGCACACACTCCCAGCCTCTTGGACATGCAGATATCGATGGCCAGCAGCGAGTTGAAGGCGATTCCCTTGAAGGAGGGGTTGAGCTGCATGCAGTCCTCCTCGGGCAGCTGCTGCGACTGCCGCCGCTCCTTGGGGCCGGCGTTCTGGGCCCCGGCTGCCCCGGCCTGGCCGCTCTGCTTCCTGCTGGAGCTCCTGCCCTCCTGGTTCCCCTTCAGGGGCTGATTCAGGGAGAGGAACTCAGCCCTGTTGAGGACGTTGTTCCTGTCTCTGGCCCTGGACCGTGGCTGGGATGCTGGCATTGCAGTCTCTCTTTAACGCAACCTGCTTTGCAAATACCGGGAAGGAGAGAAATCCCTCTTCTCCCTGCAGAAAGCTTCCCCCACTCCCACCCTCACAAGCTGTGAATTTGGGAAGCTACAAAGGTTCCCCTCTGTTGCAGTTGCCCCCAGCACAGACTGCAGCTGTTAAATATAGAGTAAGGAATGCACATGGCTGTTTACTTCATGGGCCTAGCAAGCTTGGAAGGAAAATTAATGCCAGGCTTGGCAGCCACTCCAGTGCCAGGGAAAAAGCTTGGACAGCCAATAGATATGAAGAAGAGGAGGGAAAAACATTGTGCCAAAGGTTGGTTGCTTCTGGCCTGGTCTATTTAAATCTTCCAATTGCTTATTCCCCTGGGCTGCAAGGGAAACTGGGAAACGTAGTTCTTTTTGTGCTGCAATTCACATTTCAGCACCAGAGTCAGGGCTGGAGATGATGGCATCCCCCTCCTCAGGGGGCTGTGCTGCCTGGCTTTGCAGCACCAAGACCAGGTGTCACTCAGGCACTTCCCCTCGAGGGGCTCTCCCCCAAATCTCCGTGATTAATCTGTTCTTCAACTCCTCCCCCCATACCTGGGCACCCTGAATCCCCCCCCGGCACGGATCCCTTTCAAAGCACCCCTAAGCCCACCCTCCCTGCCCTCTCAGGGCGCACCCTGGAGCGCTTTCCATCACTCACCCCGTTCCTGGAGGAAGGAGAAGCATCACCAGCCTCCTGATCAGCTGCTGATGAATTCCCATCCTCCTGGCCTCGATAGCGCACGTGTCCCCGCGGCGTCACCGGCGCGGCACAGCCCCAGCTGAAAGCAGGTGACAGCTGCTGCCTGTGTCCCCTGAAAGAGGCACAGCCACCATCCCCAGCAGCACGGAGACGAGGGAGGCTCTGCCAGGCCCCAAGGAGCACAGGGAACACCTGCTGTCCCTCCACGCTGTGCTCCATCGCTGTCACCTCCCTGCCGACCCCCCTGAGACATCCGTGCCCCTGGGAGCATCCCTGGGAGCATCCCTGGAGCCTGCAGCTCCATTTCACGGGGCTGAACGATCATCCTGCATCCCTGAGCAGCAGCTGGGTGGATGCCAGCCTCCAGCATCCTGGGAGACACCCCCCATGTCAGCTGCTGCTGCCTGCGGGGTGACAGCCCAGCTGCAGCACCCCCTGAGCCAGGGCACCTGCACTGCCAGCACCCCCCCTGCACAATGGGCTCTCCACAGCACCCCCAGGCTCCTGGAACAGGATTATTCCTATGCAAATAGGCTGGAAATCCCCTGTGGATGGAGAATTGAAGATGGATATTACACTGAGGAGAGGAACGGCCACGTCTCTTGGTGCCAGTGACATTTGTCTACACAACTGTCCAGTTACAGAGGTCAGTGGATGCACAGGTAACCCTGGGAACTGGGCACCCAGCTGTCTTTAAAGGTCTTGTCCAACCTGCAGTGGGGAGTTTAAGTACTAAATGAAAGGTGGCTCCTCGGCTTCCAAAGATAATAACACAAATTTTACATTTTCTTGGCACTTTTATGCATGGCTCTGAAAATTCCCTCAGTGAACTGTGCACCCAGGCTGTGCCCATGTGACTGACAGACCATCCAGGTGGCAGCAGTGCTTGGACAAGCAAGTGTCTGAGGTCCTGGGCTTTGTTCATCTTTTCCTCCTTCAAGGGAAAATAATATACATCAATTTATTTCTGATTCATACCCTCTTGGAACTTATGCCTGGTCAAGGGAGGTGATTCTGCCCCTCTTCTGTGCTCTGGTGAGCCCCCACCTGGAGCACTGCATCCAGCTCTGGGGTCCCCAGCACAGGAAGGACCTGGATCTGTTGGAGTGGGTCCACAGGAGGCCATGGAGATGCTCCAGGGGCTGAAGCAACTCTGCCCTGGAGCCAGGCTGGGAGAGCTGGGGTTGTTCAGCCTGCAGAAGAGGAGGCTCCGGGGAAAGCTTAGAGCTTCTTCCAGTGCCTAAAGGGGCTCCAGGAGAGCTGGAAATGGAGTGACTGGCTTCACCCTGAGAGAGAGCAGGGGTAGATGGGATTTTGGGAAGACATTTTGTGCAATGAGGGTGTTGAGGCCCTGGCACAGGGTGCCCAGAAAAGCTGTGGCTGTCCCATCCCTGGAAGTGTTCAAGGACAAGGTTGGACAGGGCTTGGAGCACCCTGGGACAGTGGAAGGTGTCACTGCCAATGGCTGGATGTTGGACTAAGTGACCTTTAAAGTCCCTTCCAACCCAAACCATGTGATTCTATGATCCCAGTGGGAGGAAGAGCTTGTTCCCTTTTCAGGCACCCTTACCCAGCCCTTAAAACACAACCTCTCCTGGCTCAGGTACCACGTGGGGCTGTGGCAGCCCTTAAATCACACAGGAACTGCCACTTCATCAACACCCAGCAGCTCCTGCCTGATCCCTGGCTGTGCTGCCACTACCAGGGCAGTCAGCACCCCGTCCCAAACCTGCCTGCCCTCACCCCACAGCCCAGCACATGGAAAATCTCAGCCTATCTGACACGGCCAGGCAGAGAACCATCAGCACTTGGCTGTGGCCATCACCTCCCAGTGCATGGCCTCCTGGATTTTCCCACTCCGTGCAAATGTGGGGCTCTGCAAACAGCAGTGGGCAGAGGGATAAAGGCACTGGTGGCCAGGACCCTGCAGAAACAGGGAGACCCCTGCCCAGTCTGCTGCTGGGGATGCTGAGCTACAACTGAACACGTTCCTCGAGAGCTGTCAGGGGTTAAAAAATACCTTGAAAGCCCTGGGAGTGAATTTAATCTGGTGCCTGTTTCTTCTGCTGACACTGGTAGGAGGGAATTTCTGTGCCCCAGCCTCCCCGTGAGACTCCAGCCTTGCACTCCAGCCCCAGTCCTGAGCAGGAAGGGCAGGCTGGGATGGATGCAGTGCCAGCAAAAGCCCTGTCAGTGGTGGAGCTGGAAAGGAAAACTGCCTGGTCTCTGCTGCAGCAGGGTGGGCTGTCACTGACAGTCCCAGCTGGAGAAATTGAGCCTGGGAGGGAAAAATCCCTGATCCCACTGAGGCCACGACAAGCCCCATCCCATAAAACTCACCCAGGGGTTTATAAATATCCCTGCAGACAGGCTCCCTGCTCCGGCAGGGCTATTCCAGTCCTGACACACGATCCACAGGGGTCATGCCCAGCGTGCTCCGTGTGCCCTGCCCTGCTCTGCTGTGCTCAGCCTGGCTGTGCTCCCGCTGCCCCGCGGGGCTCCCGGCCACAATTCCCGCACAGCCACGGCCACACGCGGCAGCACGGCCGGGAAAACCGTGCTGGGATGCGGCTGGGACAGGAGTGACAGCCCCATCCCCTTCCCTTTGGCCAGCCTCTGTCAGCAGCTGGCCAAAGCGGCAGCACTTGCACCCAAAGTGCATCCAGCAAACCCTGCATGGGATTCTTCCAGGGACAAAAAAAAGCTGGGTGGGATGTGCTAATAATGCTTTAATCACCCACAGCGGCGTGATGGAGCCCAAAACCCAACAAAAGAGCTGATTTAATTAGAATGAGATAATGCAATTTCCTAGTTGACCAGCGCACCAGAGAGAGCCAAGTTGAAGCAAGACCTGGCTGAAGCTTCAGTGGAACTGGAGTTGCAGAATATGCAGTTTCACCAGACTCATGATGCTCTGGGAAACTGTGACAAGCTTGTTTGAAAAGTGTGAAAGAGTCTTGGAAATGTCAAAGGATTTCAGCACCTTCTGGAGGCTGCTGGATATTTCATTCGGAAGATGCTAATTTCATTCTTCCTGGTACTACATGATAGTAAGTGGCTTGTAACTTGAGCAGGTTCTTAGTGTTTCTCTCTGTCACAGGATTAGTGACTAAATTGTGCCTTTCACAGCAACTGGGAAGTTTAAAATAAATACTTCTCAATGCTTCAAGAAACACGTGAGGAGGGAAAACATCACAATAAGCTGTGTTTTTTCCACTTGCTTTGGGTGGAAAGGAGCAAATCTGCCTCCCCTCATCCTGTGATATTTGCTTGTTAGGATCACCTGGTAGCTCAGGTCTCTCCTACCTGCTAAGGGCTAATCCAGCCTGCTGAAAGTACAGGGTGAGAAGAACTAAAAGACATTTACAGCAGCTCAGCACTGCCACACCACAAGCAGCACCGGCTTTTTTACCTCTCATTTCCCCAGGTTTCCTATTTAGAAACAAGTGATAGACACTCACCCAGCTGATGAGCTGATGTCCATCAGCTATTGCTCAAAAGCCAAAAATTTCACCTCCCCTGGTGCTCAGATCCTCAGCCAGCTGATGGCCAGCAGGACCAGTTGGCAACATTACCCCTAAAACTGCCTGTAATAGAAGTTTACAACTTTCCCGCAGGCCACTGCTGCCTCAGACGCTTCTCACTCCCTGTTCCACTGCTGCTACGGACAGCTTTACATTATTCCTTGCTGGAATCACAGCCCATCCAGCCTGAGGCTACAGGTTCTGCAAACAGGGAGACCATCCCCTCTGGTGCCCTTTGGTTGGCACCAAATCTACCCAGCAGCAGGCTGCAGCCGGGAGAGAAAAATCTTAATCTGAAAACCCAGGAAAAAGCACATTGCAGTGAAATTAAAAGATAATAATAATAATAATAATAATAATAATAATAATAATAAAAGGGGGGGAGGAGGCGTTTCTAAATTTAAAAAAAACTACATTACCCACAATTCACGGACATGTCGGAGGAAATGCTGGGGGTTTTTTTGTTTTTTTTTGCAAAGGAGGTTCAGCTTCAACAGCTGCAGTTTAAAAGCGAAATACAGGGGGAGGGATGGGACTGGGCGAAGGAGGGAGGACGGGGTGGTGAGGGGGTGCCCGGACCCGCAGCCGGTGCCGCGGGCAGCAGCGGGCACGCCCGAGGGGGTGCTGCGAGCGAGTTTCTGCAAAGTTTGACCCCGTTGCCTTTCCGATGCGGCGGCGGCGAGCGGGGCCGGAGCCCCCCCGCGCCCCCCCGCTCCCCCGGCGAGGCTGAGCCCCGCGGCCGGCGCCGTGCCCGGCTGCATGAATGTATTGCGGGAGAGGAAGCCTGCGGCAGCCGGGAGGCGGAGGCACCGATCCTGCTCCGCTCACCTCCCCGGGCAGCCAGCAAAGAGGCGAAAAAAAACGGCCCCGGCGGGCGCGGGGGAGGCTCCATCGCCGCCTGCCCCGCTGCGCTCCCGGAGCCGCCG